CACACCCACACACCCACACACACACACCCACCCACACACACACACACACACACACACACACACACACACGGCTGTCCCTAGAAAGAAATAAATCTAGGGAGCCATTCTTCAACTCCTATGGTATCCAATTTAGAGGCAGTTTATAGCCAACCCAAAGATACATCAGCAAGCAGTTAAGACATACCAGTAAGCAATCAGAAACATCAGCGAGCAACAAGACACCAGAGCAAGCAGTAAAAGACACACCAGGGAGAACGTTTCTGAGCAATTACCACGTCTTAATGCAGGGAGGGAGAGAGAGAAAGTGCACCCATCTAGGATTGGAACCCTATAAAAATGAACTCTCTCACAGCTCAGAGTCATGTCTGCCATGCCAAGAACGGTCTAAGGGCCGCCAACATGGCCGTGAACCAGAGAGAGGGCAGAAAGGTTGCTCATGAATGAAGACTATAAACTTAAGCCCCTGCCGTTTTTGGCATCCTATAGAGACTTAAGCAAGTTCTGGGGAGGTGCAAATGGTTAATGCACTCAGCTGCTAACTTGTAGGTTGGTGGCTGGAGTCCACTCAGAGGTACTTCGGAAGAAATGTCTGGTGATCTACTTCCAAAAAATCAGTAATTAAAAACCCTATGAAGTACAGTTCTACTCTGACACACACGTGGTCAAGCATGGGTCAAAATCAACTCAACAGCAACTGGTTTGGTTTCGTTTACAGAGCCTAATCTAGAGATAGCAAATATTTTTAAAATATATGTTGGTTAACTGACGAGACATAAAAGATCCCCCAACCTCTGGGGGAAATAAAGGAGGATGCCCAACACACCTATATTCACTGTTGCCCATCTAGTCTAAGAAAGGGATGCATATGCACATATGCACAGAGAAAGGATAAGCTTTTACACCAAAGTTCAGGTCAACCAAAGGAACAAGACTCTTAGACTCAGAGAACTTGATTATGAGACAACTTATCAAATACTCCAGGAAACTGTCAGTTCTCCTTCTCCAGGAATCTTTGAGAAAACGGCAGCATGTTTTTCCAAACTCATCTATTTGCAATGATTTACAAATGGAAGCAACAGAAATAGACCAAAACATCACAATCTCTGTGTCACGGCACTAGAAGGTCTTAAACTGAACTGCAGGGGATTCCAGTACCAATGGTCCCTCTGAACAAGTACTTGAACTCAATGGAACCTGGAAACCACTTACTTTCAGAGATGCTGAGAAGACTAGGTGAAACCACCTATGTCAGAGGGCCGGAAACAATACATGCTATTTACAAGATGGCTGCTAAACATTAGTTTCCTCTCTTCCGTCCCAGTTTTTTCTGGGTCACAATCCATTTCTAGTCTGTATCTCTTCCATACGTCCCTTTGCTGCAGTCCTCCCCACCTTCAAAGTCTACCCTGCTACAGGAAGCCTTCTACAGTCACTCCCAACCCACAAAGTTCGTGTTAGTCTATGCAAATGTTTTATTTTCCTAACTGGCTAGTAAAAATCTTGAAGACAGAAAACTATATCCCACACACACGGAAGATGCCAAGGAGTAAGAATGAGGTTAATTATCAAAGTCATAACTCTAAATGTGCTCCTATTTCCCAAGATGAAAAAAAACCTTAACTCAAAACAAAACACTCTGGTTCTTTAAATATTATTAAAAAGGCAGCACCACTGGAGCCGGTGGTGGTTCAGCGGAAGAACTCTCACCTTCCATGCAGGAGACCCAGTTCAATCCCCAGCCAATGCACCTTATGCACAGCCACCACCTGTCTGTCAGTGGAGGCTTGCATGTTGCTATGATGCTGAACAAGTTTCAAAAGTGCTTCTAGACTAAGACCAGGAAAAAAGGCCTGAAGATCTACTTCCAAAAATCAGCCAATGAAAACCCTATGGATCACAACAGTCTGACTCCGTTGTGCTTGGGGTCATCATGAGTCAGGGGCCAACTAGATGGCAACTAACAACAACAATAACAACAGTGGCACATCAAAAGGAGCCCCACTCAGAGCCAATGGCCTAGAGAATGTGCTCAAGAGATATTTGTTAACTGAGTAAATCAGCTCAACACAGGGGCTGGGTCAGGATCCCATCTGAAAGAAGCAGCCACCAACTCCCTCCCATTTCATTCCTGGAGGTTTACCCATGATCATCTGCCCTGAGACTTAGAGCCCAGGTGGGGAAACCACTACAGAGCCAGAAGGCAACAAGATCCCCATATCACTGACGAGGGTGAGAGCACAAATGTTTACACGGGCTCTTAAACCCAGTTAAGAGCAGCTGAGTTGTGCAAGCAGTTAAGTGCTCAGCTACTAGCCAAAAGGCTGGTGGTTTGAACCGACCCAGAGACAGCTCAGAAGACAGGCCATCTGCTTCTGAAAGTCACGCCTTGAAAACCCTATGGAGCAGTTCTACTCTGCACATGTGGGCTCACCATGAGTCTGAATCAACTCAACAGCAGCTAACAATAACAACAAGCTACAGGACAGAGGCACTGCGGGACAACAAAGTTAAAGGCAGAACATGCCACTCCACCTTGGGAAATAGGATCATGCAGAACTGCAAGGAAATCAGATAGGACCTTTCCAGTTGCATTTTCTACTGAGGATGGGGGCTGGGGGAGTGGAGGCTGGAGAGGCATGGGTTCCATTTATTAATAAGCAACTCAACACAGTGGGAGGCTTTCTTGTCTAATTACAGAAGCTGTTGGAAACTGCAGGGAAGACAGGATTTATGGCCTAGATGACACTGCTTCTGTGTTGTAATTAAAAGTTATTTTTAATACCTTTGTTTGGTTGGACACGTTGGATTATTTGAAATATATTTTGCAATTTCAAACTTGCTTAAGGGCAAAGAACATCACCAAAAGGTAATACAATAAGTTTGCATAATGTAAAACAATTAAATGTTTTGACACTGGGAGGTGGGAAAGGAAAAGGATCTCTCCCACTTAATTCTTATAAGAAAGAGGGAAAAAGAAACAAATAAGCTAAAAAGTATATCCTAAACTAGATCTTTAAAATTCCAAAAGTAACTCAGCTACTTACTTTACCCATTAACTAGAGTTTGGCTATCACCCACCAGAACTATATGCATAGTTCATCCACAACCATTCATCCAAAGAACCTAATCCTGCGGCTCTACGCTTTCTCCTGTGCCCCCAGGAAATGGCAGTGGCCGTCCTAATGAGAGCGAGTCCTGACTCAACCACAAAGATCTAGGGGCTAACCCCAAGACAGTGTGATCAGGTCCTATCTGAGCTGTAGACAATAGTTCGGGGGTTGTTTTTTTACCCATTTTCCTTCTCTTGCCCAAGATTCCAGTTTTAAGAAGGGGGTGGACAAAAATCCTCCATAAGGAGAACTGCAAGGGGTTGCCCGTGAGTAGCTACAGAATGAGGCCAAGATTAGACAGGGGCCATTTATTTCCTAAGTGCTATTTCCAGAATTTATATTTCTCCATACACATATAGAAGACACAGGTGGTGCAAACGATTAATGTGCTCAGCTGGTAACCCAAAGGCACCTTGGAAGAAAAGCCTGGTGATGTACTTCCCAAAAATCAGCCACTGAAAACCCCATGGATCACAGTTCTACTTGGACACACATGGGGTCACCATGAGTCGGAGTCATCTCAACAGCAAGTAGTACTGGTGTAAACACATCAGAGGCATTTTCTGCACAAGTGGTTCTTCTTTAACAACAAGGAGGAGAGAATCTGTTAAATATCACAGACATTTGAAATTGTTTGATGGGAGTGGAAAGGAGGAAGGAACTCTAACTGGTATGAGATTCTCAGATAACCTCTATATTTCACTTATCCATGCTATGAATCTTCTCATTAGAAGTGAATTCTAGGAGCTCCTTATATGCAAATGTGTCATAGAAACCACTGGATATTACACATCACAATGAGACTATAAAAACCTTTTAACATTTGTTATTTGAAAATAAACTTAAACTTAGCTTTACATGACTGTACCAAGCTTATGGAATTTATATTATACAAATAAGAACTGTATTCCTTTGTTCCTTGTTCTTTCCAAAGCAGAGTTTGACTCCACAACAGAGCACAGAACTTCCATTCTTACCTGCCATATTAATTTTTTCAAGTGCAACCAAGCTTGGAACAGCTGTAGTGGAGTTGGTCGAGTTCACTCCCGTGCCATTGATTACGAGATTGTCCACCCTCGACTCCAACTTGCCAATGCGCTGCAAAATATTATCCAGTAACACGGCAAGAGTCTTCTTCAGATCTGTAACAGAAAACGCAGATGATTTTAAAATTCTTTGGCCCAAGCCGTCTGTCCGGATTTCTCTCTCTCTTTAACATGCAGAACAAAACGTCTCAAATGCTTTTAAAGTGGCATAGCTAAAAAATACTGCCCTAAGACCTGTCCTAACAGACAACATCTGAAAGATGACAGCAGCCGCACCAAAACTAAACCAAACCTGTCACGTCAAGTCAATTCTGATTCATAGTGATCCTACAGGACAGAGCAGAATTGCCCCATAGGGTTTCCAAGGCTGTAAATATTTACGGAAGTAGACTGCCAGCTCTTTTTGCCACGGAGCAGCTGGTGGGTTCGAACCTCCAACCTTTCGGTTAGCAGCTGAGCACTTAACCACTATGCCACCAGGGCTCCTTTTAAGGTGTCCAGAGCCTACTAAACAAATTGATCTATTCTGGAATCTAAGTTTGACAATGAGTGACATTATAAAATTATTTCCAGCTATTAGCTTGATGGAGCCCTCGTGGTGCAGTGGTTAAGAGCTACAGCTGCTAACCAAAAGGTCAGCAGTTCGAATCCACCAACTGCTCCTTGGAAACCCCATGGGGTGGTTCTTCTCTGTCCCATAGGGTTGCTATGAGTCAGAATCGACTTGACGGCAATGGGTTTGGTTTCCGATTTTTTTTATTAGCTTGAAAGAAAAAACTTTTTGTTATTTAGCATCCTACCATGTTGTTGTTGGCTACAGTCAAGTTGCCCCCCGCCCCATGGCAACCTCATGCACAAAGCAGTTATGATTCACAGGGTTTTCATAGCTGATATTTGGAAGTATATAGCCAGCTCTTTCTTCCTAATCCATCTTAGTCTGGAAGCTCCACTGAAACCTGTTCAGCACCATACCAACACCCAAGCCTACAATGACACATGGGTGGTGGCTGTACATGAGGTGCACTGACTGGGACCATGGAATTCAGGACTCCCACATAAAAGGTGGGAATTCTACCACTGAACCACCACAATAGCACTCTATTAAAATCCTCTTCCCTTACCCCATGGTGATTACTGATACACTAAATGACAACCCCAAAGTCGCTTCTGGATCAAGTTCATTGTTATTTTTAGCACTGTGTACTCTAGCATGTCCTGATTCTTTGAAAAGTGCTTATTTATGTTGGTTACATATGGTAGCGCTTAATAAAAGCTACAGTTCCAGATTTCCGGGCATGCTGAACAACCCAGAGTCAATTATAATCAGATTTAGAAAAGAAACTTAAAATATAGACTAGATTCATTTGTTTGTTCAACAAATATCTACTGAACAACTACTGTGTGCCAGGCATTCGGGCACACTCTTCTAGATGCTGGGGATGTTCTCTCACGGTGCTTGCATTTACGGGCTGATTCTTTCTTACACATCTGACTCTGGGTTAAAGAGTAGTGCACTTTCCTCATGGATATATTACAGGCACACTGTCCTCACCCATACACAAGCCTTACTAAGTGTGTACACAAGGTATTCCACAAAGAAAGAGTTCAGTGTAGCCTCTCTGCTCCGGGGCAACTTGTAACCAAAGAAAGATATGCTGACTTGTACGTGTTGGCAAGGCAGATGGACAACAGAACAGCCTTCCATGGGAATGTACTCCAGACTCATTTATGAATTGGGCGTAGGCCAGGTGGAGAAAGGTACAGTGTCATTAATTACCATCTTCTGTTCTGCTGGGAACAGAGGCAGACCTGCCTGAGAAAGTGTTCTGATCTGGAAAGGAAATAAAGACACACCTGTTCAATTCACGAACCCCACACCGTGGCCAACGAACCTCAACAAGGTACATTAAGGCCATCCTGTTTGGCCAAGTAAGGGAGAAGACTCATCAGAACAGAAACACAGACAAGTAATTAGCATGGAAATTATGTTATTAGTGGATTACAGGCAGCACCACTTGAGCTGACTCAAAACGCCAAACAGAAACAAAACCCACATCCTGTAAGCCTCCCATTCTATTTGTCTGGCATAAGCTCACCCAAACATTTGACTTCTTAACAATGCTTAGATCTGTAGCAGCTTGTTCATTCATTCATTCATTCTCACAAATAGCTAACTTCCATGTGTATCTTACCTGCTTGTAGTAACACATGCTGGCCACAGAATTAGAGCAATGGTGATAAAAATGTACAACTGAAGCAAAGGCAAAGGGGAAGTAACATTTACTGAATGCCTACTCTATGCCACGCACACATATAAGCAAGCCCGTTATATCTTCATACCCTCCCTGTGAGGTAGGTACAACTCCGTTCTATAGATAAGGAAACTGAAGTTTACAGAGATTAAGTAACATGCTCGTGGTTACAGAGATTATAAGTTAGAATAAGGCCTTGAACTCAGGTCCGACTAATTCCCTGATGCCTGACTTGTGACCAGCCGGAAGTCAGGAGCCCAGGTAGGAAAAAAAGAAACTTCAAGTGTGAAGTTCAGTGTCTTTCATGCCATGTTGTTGTTAGCTGCTGTGAAGTCAGTTTCCAACTCATGGTGACCCCATACACAACAGAACGAAATATTTCCCGGTCTTGCACTATCCCTATGACTGGATGCAGATCAGACTATTGTGATCCATAGCATTTTCACTGGTTGATTTTCCAAAGTAGATCGCCAGGCCTTTCTTTCTAGTCCACCTTAGTCTGGAAGCTCTGCATCATAGCAACACACAAGCCTCCACTGATAGATAGGTTGTGGCAGTGCTGAGGGGCACTGGAGGGAGTCAAACCGAGGTCTCCGACATGGAAGGTGAGAATTCTACCACTGAACCACTACTGCCCCTACCTTTCATCCATAGCATAGTGAGTAAGGGCCCAGACTTTGGAGCAGATTTCCTGGGTTTGGAGCCTCCCCATTCCTGTTTCCTTATCTGTAAAACAGTAATAAGGATAAGCCTACCTCTCTGGGGTTGTTATCACAACTTAATGAGTTAATACTTATAAAACATTTAGAACACTATCTGGCACATAATAAGCATTACTTAACTGTCTGTTACCTATACAAATAAAAAATAAATTAAAACTTTCCTCTGGAAAAATGCTCTTACCATTCCTTAAGAAATCCTTTCCTGGGTGATGGCAAAACTTTACCTTTCTAATCAAAGGGTCATGAAATCATTCTGGCCCTGAGGTCTGGAGTCCCATGGTCAGCAGGACTTACAGTTTGTCACTGGTACCTCATTAGCTGGCCGGGACAGCAGGAGTCAGTTACCAGCTCTGTTCTTATACTGAGCCTAATGCATCAACTGGTTCTCCTGAGTTCTAAAAACTGCCAAAGGCTAGCCACACAGATGGGGGCAATATGCCACTGAGAGATGGCATAAAGTATCAAGTATAGACAGTCAGTATAAAAAAACCACTCCTCAGGCATAAAATATCACCCCATCTCCAGCCTCTTTGCCTGGAGACTGTATCATCAGTTAACCAGCTCCTGTGTAAATGGCATTTAACTATTACCAGCAACTGGAGCCATTAAAAATACCTAAGGTCAGCAGTTCGAATCTACCAGCCACTCCCTGGAAACCCTATGGGGCAGTTCTACTGCGTCCTATAGGGTATTGATGAGTCAGAATCGACACGATGGCAACGGGTCTGGTTTTTGGTTTTTATAGTTTTATAATAAAGGCTAAATTATAATACCTTTCCAGGTGATGAAATTATTTCCCACCTTTGTATTTTACAGTTAAACCTGCAACTGTTAACACTTTTATTGTAATCATAAACCAATACTAAAACATTTTTGTGTTTTAATCTTAACGGTAAGCCTTTTGTCCAATAAGACTGTGCACCCAAGAATAACTTCCATAGAGTATTAATAATGCAATGAGTTAAAATATTCCTCCAAATTCTACTATAATATTTTTATATTAATCATTGTGTTTTACCATTATTATAGTAGTAAAATGTGTTCTCAGCGGGATTACAATTTTCCATCACTAACAGGGTTTTTAAATTTTGTTTGTGCTTCAAAGTCTTAGCAATAAAAATTTAATCCCAACACTGCTATTGCAATTCTGTGTTCCTAAAACTCACTATACATGATAAAGATTAGATCAAAGTAGTTGAAAACATTTAAAATGTCCCTCTGGGGAAAGGGAGCTTGGGCTTCTATCATACCATGAGTTCTTTGATAAATGGCAAGATCTCAAAGCTGCATTAGAGTAGATGCTCTGAAATCTACATCTGTAGGCTTTCATTTCCAGGAAGCCATGAAACCAGAAGGTGAGAAGAGGCTGCAGGCTGCTGACACATCCTTCAGCAGGACAGCCAAGGAGACATCACTGCTAGCTATACTTTCCTCCGTGCCGACAATCCAAGGAGACAGGGTCTTAGTAGAAAGAGAGATGCTACTGGTGAAAAAAGGTTTCTAGATCTACCAGCAAAAGCTGTGAGATTGCTAGTAAACCCTTATTTGCCAGATCACCAAGTCCATAAATATTTGTAGTCTTACCAAGAAAGGCAGCATCTGGGACCTATGCGGTCCCCACTCCATCTCCCCCCAGGAGAAGTCCTCAACCCTGCTGTCCTCAGACTCACCTGCCATCAGAGATTCCAGGCCCCAATCCCAAAGGACAAAATCAGTCTGCAGAACCTACTTCAAGGATTCTGAGGCATAGTCCAGGTGGAGAACTACTTTTAAGGTGTGGGCAGACCATGAGTTGCTGGTACAGAATCAACTGTGCAATTGTGCAATGAGCAAGGACTTAAATCTGAACTGACAAAAATAATTTACATCGGTGCTTACTCCCAATTCAAATACCTCCTCACCATGGCTGCTGCAGAGAGCTAACAACAGAGCCACAGAGCTGCTTCACTTGCTGCTCTGGAGAAGCCCAGGAAAGACAGGGTGTTAATGAGAAACAAAGGTGCTAATGAAAAAAAGAATTAACCTTGACCTCTTGTTCTCATCAACTGTCACATGAATGTCAAGTTTCATAAATTATATATTTTTAAATTAATTTCAAAGTGACCATACTACAGAAAGATAA